TTTAACAGCAATATGCATGTAAAATTAAGCAACAGTCCAGAACAAACAGCAAGTAGTTGTAGGAATGAGGAGATTGCACAGATTATTTCCTGAGCTGTGAAGCAGGGATGAGAGGGAAGCATTACATGGATAAGTTTTATAAAGAAAACTTTAAAACCATAAAACTTTACTAGAAAAACAAGACATGAAAACCAAAATCTGTCAACAGTATGGATTCTGAAAGGATTTGTACAATAAACAATGCATGTTTTATGGAAAGCAACTTCACCTTTCTCAGAGAATAATATTATGAATGGGTTAGAAATTATTTAAAACTGATGAACTGGTAAAATCTATGGCAAGATATTACAAGGAAATTAAAAGATTAATGGAAGAGAAGATATCAAAAAGTAACCAGGACCAGACACTTAAACAGAGATAGCGTGCATCAAGCAAAAAGGAAAGAGATACAAAGTTGAGGAAAAGATACTGGGCAAACCACTTCCTCAAAATAATTAGGTAATTCTTTTGTTTTGTTTTGTTTGAATTATCAATAACATGGTTGTAGACTCCTGAGACGTTTCATAGAGGTCGTTCCAAAGAACATACAGTGTATAGAGGGAAATGTTAGTCTGGAACAGGAAGATGGTGAACTAAGGATACTGTAAGATATGTTACTCTCACGTCTGTCATCTTTCTGCTTATGCTCACAAATGAAAACAGAGATTGGCCAGACTCACCAGAATTGAACAGGAATTCATTGTTGCTTACAAAGCAGAAAAGGAATCAATTAATTGCATTTGTTTTAACTATTGCTTCTTTTTTTTCAGAATTTTAATCATGGTCTTTTAGCAGCACAATATTTTTGGAATGAAAATTGAAATGGGAAACCTACAGAAAAAACAGCCAGGTCTGCATGCACAATTGCTCCTAATAATTATTTTTGCATTTATCCAGGAACAGACATAATCAGCAAGCAATTCTGAGCCACAATGAGCCAGTCCTGCTTACGTGTTTAGCAATAAGAATCTCACTATAGAGAATGTTTTTTGTTAACTCTTAGGAAAATAAGTAAATGTTAAAAATGCATACAAAAAGATAAAACATGCACAGAAACAGATACATGTTAACTGAAATATAAAGAGGGAAAATGAGGTAATTTCATAATACATTTATGTTCAAAATAGACTGCTTTTGGATTTCCAGTAATGTTCATATGACAGGGAATTAAGTGAAATATTATTACAACATTGGTGATTTTTTTTTTGGTTGTTGTTATTTTTCATGTATATTCCTCACAGGATGAATTTGTATCATTCCAGGAACATGAATTTTACTGCTGACATTCCTCTTAGCACAATACGTTCATATCCCTGTCCTCAACAAATATATATTATACTTTTATTTGCAGGGTTTATTTGTCTGTCGGGATCAGTCTTTGAGTTACAGAACAAAACGAAAAAAAGTTTGCTAGAATTACTTAGCTTTAAGCACAGAAAATAACCATACAGGAAAACTCCTTGGTTATTCTGTTATGATTGATTGCATCTATTTTAATTTTTGCAGTAACTCATATTAAACAACTTTTTTTGTCAAAGCACTGTAAATGGTTTCATTCAGCTGTGTGAGGATTCGAAAGACCTTGCAGCATCTGCATCACAGCTGGAAGCACGAAGGGAAAACTTTATTTTAAAAGTTGCTAGATAAATGAGGGAAGTATGTAACCATGTCTCCTCACCGCACACCAACTGCAGGTATTTTAGAGACACTGCAATAGATGACTTCCCTCCTGCATGTTTTTTTCAGTCTCCTGAGAGGACTTCCATCTTGTGAAGCAGATTCTTCTTCTGTCTTCTGTCATCCATGTAACAAATACAAAGTTTCAAGATGCCAAAACAGTTAGTTCAACTTTTCTACAGCTGACAGTGAAATGTATTACTGCCACTCTTCCCTCTGTCCACTACCAAATACTATTGTAATATCCTCCTCTATCCTCCTGTTGAACAAGACTGAAGATCCCACAGATCAAAATCATCCTATTGAGATGTTTCTGCATTAATTTAATGATTATATCCAAGACTCAGATGAGTCAAGATAATTTCCTTTGAAAATAATAGTTTGAGGAGAAGGAAGAATACTGGGTAAGTAACTTAAAAAAAGATGACATTGAAAAACATGGAATGAAATCCCATAGTCATGCCAGACTACTCTGAAGGGTCAACGAATTAGTAAGAGATCTGGAAAATGTGCTAATCTTTTATTTTTGAAGATTGTCTACACTGTAAAAAAATTCAAGAAAAGATAAATTACTTAATCTGAGCTTTATTAGTTGGTCTTTCACTGTTTAGGATGTTCTGGGTGAGACACAGAGGCTTGCTGGGATTTGTGGGAGATGACTGAACTTCTAGTCATGATTGAAAGGACCTCACTAACTATATTCCTCCATTGCAATGCTGACTTTTATTACTAACCTCACAGAAATACATTTGAAGAGCACTTTTTCTGCCTTTCAACTGATTTCCTACCCTACTTTTATTGCATTTCTATTGCTCCATCTCTGCAAATTCTGCTATCAGTGAATACACTATTTTTATTGGAAGAAAATATAGCTATTTCTAGCACATGGATTTAACATAAGTTTGCTTACTATCATTGTTTGTAAACAGATTAATTTCATCAGAGTTACTGAATTTCACAGTTTCTTGGTAGACTTGTTTTTGTAAGCATTTGCAGCTTGAAATATAGCTTTAAGACAGCTGAAAGGGGAACAATATTGTGAGGTGGATTTCTTCCTGCTTTATTGCATTCTTTCTGTCTTGTAACGCTGCTGCCATTTTCAGAAGAAATGTAAGAAAATATCACACAACACAGACAGATAAAATTCAAAAGCACCTTTGAACATACCACTGCACCTTAACATTTCTTTTCATAAACTGAGTAAAGACAGAATCTTCTCAGAAATACAATCCTTCTTATAGAAACACCAAATACAAAGAACATGCACAGGATAAGGTTAACAACAACAATGTCAAAGACAAGATCCTAATGACCCTCAACAATAAACAGAACCAAGCTACATTTAAATAAGAATGTCTGAAATGACACTGCAATCCAACACCTGCCATGAATCATGCCCATTCATGTTATGAATACAACTGCAATTATGGTCCTTCTCCAAAAGAAATAATTTTTATGGACGATCTAACCTACTGGTGACAACCTTCAATTTTCTGGATAGTGAAATGCCAGCTATTTTTTTATGCCTTGAAATAATCTACGTAATGTTAAGTTGCACCTCATTCATGCTGCTCTTGATATCCTTCTGAAAAGAAGGGCATTCAAAACAGAATTTATGTTTTGAAAGAAGAAAGAAAATAGCGGAGTCAAAAGACTTTTCACTGCTGGAGAGTGACTGCAGCACTTTGCATCCTACTGACAATAGTGGTTTACAACAAACTTGAATGTATGCAGCTGAGTGAGAGAAAATTAAGATATGGAAACATGCATATGGAGACTTAAGCATTTTAATCAGGATTTTAATTTAATGCCTCTCCTGGAGGTTTCAGATAGGTGAAACCATAGCTGGAAGAAATATTAATGTTTTTTGTGTGATACGGGTCTAGGAGATTGTTGGATTCATATGACTAAAGATCATTCCATAAGCAAAGAATTGTTCCTTAATATAGAGATTGTTAAGATGCAAGAGAACAACAAGTTTTGAGATTTAACAATAAATACTTCAGAAATCAGATCAGATACAGAACCAGCTAATCTCCACCCTCATTATACTTAATTTTAATTATATATTATCTGCTTTTTATATGGATAATAAATAGGAAAATTGAATATCCCTTTTGTTGCCCCATCGGTCTGAAAAGACAATTAGAACCATTCTAAACAAGTACCTGCAAACCTTGTCAGAATCCCAGAGATGTGGAAATTTAGAAGATCTGATTCAACACCTGTGCTAGGACTCCTGTTCCTTGCAAGCTGTGCTAATGCTGTGATCTCTCTATCGTAAACACCTTTAGGTGGTCCCTCCAAACCTGAACATCAAGCTTGCATTTGTGCCAAACTGTGTAAAAATATTTTAAATTGGAGAAGGCCTAAACTCTTAATTCATATATTCCCATACCACGTATCCATTTCACTTGGGAGTATGGATCTAAAAGTTCAGCTAATAACTTGTTTAAATAATCACACAGAGGTGCTTTAAATTGTAACTTAAATAGAAATCAATTTATCTTCTCTGTCTTCATACCACAAAATACTCCTTTAGAATAAAGTATCTGCTTTAGGATAAGCACAATAATTCTTTGGACTCCACTCACTGATTCTACTGGGAGCTTGATCACCACAATGCTAATAGACACACACATTTTGACAATTATATCAAGAATCTTGATCTTAAACTTAAAACCACCTACTGGGAAGAGCACCATCAGATCTGAGAAAATAATTGACTTGAGACAACTTTACTAGACAGTAGAAAGTGATAATCTGCTGTTTAATTCTGAGAATTGAAAACTATCACAAACTTTCCTCTCACTTTTATGCTGAGTCTTCGAACTCTTCCAATGTTAGCAAGGACAATCCCAATTTACAATTTACAATGTAAGAGCAAAATATTTATTTGACAACAGAACATATTCACCTTATGTGAGTGGAAAATAAGCTTTCTGGAAGAAAATGCTCAAGGTGGACTAAATAATCTCCACAGAAATTATTTTCCACTTGTAAAATGTATTCATTTCCAGTTTCTTATAACCAAGGTGACCTTATACATTACTACTTCCAATTTTCAAATTGTCATAACATGCTCACAGACTGTTATTACATAGTCATTGACATACAAATATTGATTTGATGATGAAGCTATTAGCATATTAAGGTGTTCTCAGATACTTAGCCATGGAACACATCACTCTGATGCAATTATTAAACATATAAATTATCTAAATACTTGTTATACTTATTTTACGGATGAAAGAGCTCCAGCATTTAAATTATTCATTACTTACCCCTGTTCTTTGAACTTCCAAGAAAATTGCTCTTTGAAATGATTTCTCCCACACTGCCAACTCGCTGCCCAGCTCTACATTGAAATAATGACTCTTGCCATGCCCAACCATAACACTGAAACAATACGGCCTCTGGTCTTCAAGCTCAAAGTCCTGATGAATGCCTAAATAGAAGTTTGCTTGTAGCCAGCAATCATCAGCAAGCCAGAGCTGAAAGACATGTTTCAGTATGTGATTCTTCATCTAGCAAAAACAAACAGTTAAAGCAACATTGTATTCTGTAAGTAATGGGTACTTGGATATGTTATGTCATTATGTTAATTACCTCGAAGAAATGTTCTGAGCATTAAGTAATAATTTCAAAGACAGCTTCTCTCTTTGCTTCTTATTCATTTTAGCCTGTATCATGTAATCTGAGCTACTTCTGCAGTTCCAAAATGCTGTCAAAGTTACCTAAGCAATACATACATAATTTAGAAGGAGTTTGTAGCATTATATTGTTTACAGTGAAAAGAACAGAAATCCCTGAATTGTTTGAACACAATTCAAGAGCTGTGTATCAGTGTTACAGGAGAATACAACTACTTGTTTCTAATTAGGCTCCAATATGCTAAAAACCAAGGAATGCAGTAATTTATCAAGCACCCAAGGGCTAATTCTGGAAATGACAATGTAAACATGAGGCAAGGTATAGGAAGAAACACATGAGATAAAAGAGATCACATTTTCAATCATCTGGTTGTTACCACTAAATGGCCATGAATATGCAAGTATGTGATATATAGATTAATTTTAATTCACATATTTGCCTATGCATGTTTGTGTATGCAAGTGTGCCTTTACATGTATGTATGTATACATACACACAAATCTAAAATATTGGAAACATTTTTTTTTAAATGCCATTTCCCCTCTGGATTCTTATTTGCCATGTTTATCTCATGTCATAATAAACATAGAAGAGAAGCTTACAATTAGGTAACAAGTGCATCTTGCCTTAAAATCCATCTTTTGTGAGAAGACACAATAGCACTCTCCACTGCCTTTGCACTAGTTCTAACCAGCTTCTGAAATCCTCAAGAATACCCTCCCTGAACAGTTTTTACAACATAAACTCCATCTTTCAGTTTTCAATGTAGAAATCTTAATCTGTTAAGATTTTTTTCTATCTTTTTGGATTTGCTCAGTTTGCCTCTTTGTCATTTATGCCAAAGAATCAACAAAAAAGAGGTTAAAGTGTTGAATTTGAGCTTTTGTACTTTAGCTAATGTACTCATGAAGACTGGCAATTAAGCATTAATTTATTAAAATGTCAAGAACACTAAAGAGTTAGATCTTGGGTAGTTTATTTCCCACTTATTTTTCTTAATTAAAAAGTATCACAGAATTCGCTTTAAGGAATAGATTGCCCTTGAAATTACCAGAATATTCAAGGAGGGCTGAGTTTGAAATCAGTACTAACATTTCAAGAAGAAAAAAACAAAACCCAGACCACAGCAAAATCTTCTCAAAATGCATAATAAGTAGAAATTTCATTGCTGCCTGACTTAATTTATAAGAAAAAAAGTAATTTTTTAAAAAGATTAAGGAGACAGAACAAATAATCTGGGACAAGGCCTCTGCTCTTTAGTGTTGTCTTAATGGTGGGTAGGACCTGAAGTTGCCCACGTGTACCCATCTGGAGACACGGTGACATTAAAATAATGCTATGCCCACAAAAATATGGCTGTGCGCCTGCAGCCCATGCTCTGGAGCTGAGCTCAAGTTCCAGACTCCAGGATTGCCATTTTCCTGGGATGGCACTGCCCAAAGCCCTTCTCTCTCCCCACTCTTGCCAGAGAATTGAACCTTCCTCCCCAGCCCAGTGACAGCAGGCTTACAACTGAAAAAACAACAGAAAAAGCAGGCAGCGACTGATGGGCCGCAAAACTGACAGCTGACATTAGCAGAAGCTTTTAGCAGCCATTTAATGGAACTGACACCTCTGTAAAATGCAGATCTCGGCTCATGTTTGAAAGCTATTTTTTATAGATTTCTGTCAAGTTCTGTGTGCTCCTTGTTCTGTTGGTTGTAACTTTATCATGGTTTCAATTGTTTTGTTTTGTTTTGTTTTGTTTTGTTTTGTTTTGTTTTAAATCACAGTCAACAAAATTTGTGTAGGAAAAATGCCCATGTTGATGAAAGATAGTTTGGGACAAGTAGTTAGAGCAGTGAGGACATGGAAACTCCCTGCCACACCTTTCTTTGAAGTGGTCATTTAGAGCTACAAAGAACTCCCCCTATATGCTGAACAGGGCAGTAAAGGGGAACAGTGTTATTGTCAGGTCTATGATTTTTTTTCTTTTTTTCACTTTTCCTTCTGTAAATTGTCCTGAATAACTGTGTTGCATCAGAAAAAAACAATCAACTAACCAAACAAACAAAAAACTTCTTCAGTTCTCCTCTGGTGTAATGTTAAGTCAAGATCTGTACAGGTAATAGCAACAATCTTCCTTCTCCACAACATTTGTACATGGTCAAAGAGGAACAGCAGAGAGCAGGACAGCAGCTGCTGAGAACTAAAGCTGATTTGTAATTTTTCAGTGAAACAGCATTTTATCTGAAAAGACTCATCTTTTTGCTTTTTTTTTTTCCCTTTACCCTGATATTTTTTTTTTAATGCAAAGCGGTTTTTGATTAGAGAATTTAATCTATCTGATGAAACTTATTAGAAAATACATTCTGTAAGGCAATTATTTACACAGATTGCTAAAGTTTTGCCCAAAATCCTTGCCTGGGGGAAGCTAAGCAGAAAACATGACACTGTCCGTAGATGGTGGGGAAAAAAAAAAATAAAAAATTATATGGTACAGATATGCACCATGTTGTCCTTTGTAAGGTAAAACCCACTATAATATTTGCAAATTACAAATGATCTAAAAGGAAATAATTTTATACTTCTAAGTCCTGAAATTAAATAAAAGTATCATTATATAGATCAGGAATTACAGTAAAAGCTTACATCACATTCACTTAAAAATCTGAGGCAAAAAGAAAAAAAGCAATATCCAGCTTCATTATAGTTAGCTGTGTGTCTCACCTGTACTTCATGAGACTAACTCTACTACTGAAAAATTTCTTCAATATGGAAGCATTTTAGTAACTTGCTCACTTAGAACTTAATCCATTTTTCATATTCTCTTATACTTACATAGCTAATGCATTAATCATTACTAATGGTGTTTTTTAACAACAGATGAACTATTTGAATGTTATCTACTCCCAGTTAAGATTAATTTGAGCTTATCATCAACAGGAAAAGGCAAGCTTTCTTTACTAAGTAATATAATTGTAATCATTAGGAAACCTACCTTGTGAATTTTAAATAGAACCTCACAGAGGTTATAGATTTTTTCAGCTCGTACCCAGTCTAGTGTGCTTACCTATAATATCAAAAGAAAATATTAACAACAGATTCCTTATTCTAAACTCATGTACAGATGACAAAAATTAAAGATTTCACCCACCATTATTTTACTGGATGCTCTAAATATAGACATGTTACTACATTTAATATCCAACATTTAGAAAAGACTGTCAAATAGCATTCAATTTTTACATAAACAGCATCTACGGGAGTCTTACTAATATAAAATGTATTGAATAATTTAATTGATGATTTTGCCCATTATTACTAAAGTCTGATGGAAACCTGTTTGTAAGCTCTGTCATGAGTTACATAAGGATACATTGTCCATTATGCTAACACAGAGAGAACTCAGAGTCTCAAACCCAAAGTCATTCAGTTTCATTTCTCGATTTTAAAAAATCTTACAATCAACAGACCAATATGCATTCCTAAATTCAGATTTGAGTTTACATACACTAGGGCAGTAATATCTTAATATTTATATTAAAAAATGAAAAGGACTATGTGACTACAATATTTGAAATTAATAAGAATGTCAACTGTATGCTTAATAATTAATATGAAAAGACATATTTTTTGTTTTCTTTTGAATTCATTACTTTATCCTGTTGACATGACAGGCTGTTAAATTTGGACAGTTAGAATAATATTTGAAGTTTGTCCCTAAATTCTAGATCACAATATAATGTGATAATCTGTTTTTAAAAAAAAAAAAATAGTACATAGCCTATGTAGTTTGAGGGGGGGAAAAAAAAGAGAGAACCTATATATAGGAAAAATAAAGGAAGAATACACATTATTTTGATTATATACTTCAGTGCAAAATCCTAGCTCTTGGTGAATGTACAGGAATGGCTACACAGACCTAGAAAGAATTTGACTAAACTGTAGCTCTGAGGCTGTTAGCATGTGGAAATAAGTGTTTTGGTGACTGTAATAGCAACCTGGATACTTTAAAATACTAGAGCAGATGCAGCTTTGTCCTGTTCTTGACCCTCTCCCAGAGAGAAGAAAGCAGAAAAATCAAATTAAGGTATATTTAGGTAAAGTAAAAGCTGGCTGTAAAACATCTGGCTTATGTGGATGAAACTTAACTAGGAAACAACTATGAAAGTCAATAACATTCTTTTTCTCTGTATTCACAGTAGCACATAATTCACCTATAATAATCAATCTTGTTCCTAATGTTTTGCATGAAGAACAGAAAAAGGTGAATTTCCAGTTTTTCATAAATTCTAAACCCTTAAGCAAAATAGTAATAAAATGGTAAAAATCCAAACCACAGCAACACTTAGCAGCAGAATGATGTGACTTCTACTGATTATTAAAAGTTAAATGTTGGAGGAGTAATGCGAACTTGGTGTTAGTTTCCATCTAATTTTATATGTTCTTATGTTCACTGCAACTGAAACAAATTAACTTTATTATGGAGTGGACCTCACAGCTATGTGTTTCAAAGAAGTGTTTCAGAATTTACCCAAATTCTTTCTTCTTAGTGTGGAAAGCATCCCACCTAAATTTAGACGTCAGAAGTATCTAATCTTAACCTAATGTAATTCTTAATAATCTAATCTTAATTTCAACATATTGGGAAAAAAAAAGGCAGTGCTTTCTGCCAGTTTCTCTAACTTTAGATTAGATCTATACAGTCTAGATTATTAAATTTAGATGAGATGAATAATCTATTGCAAATGCAACTCAAGACCTTTAGAAGCGAAAGTTCTATGACCACATCTTTTCAGGATGTAAAGGGATTTATATTGTAGGGTTCAGTTTTTATATTTTAACAACCAAATGAAAAACAACGCAGTAGACTATGTAACAGCATGTTATATGCTTTCTCTTTCTGTATTATTGTAATTTCTCATTGCAAATTAAAGCTCAAAACACTACCTGTAGTTACCTTTAAAAGTACTTAGTACTACTTTAAATGAACTTCATCAAATTTAAATCTAATGTTAGCTATTATAGAAAATTAAGTTTAAAGCAAATGTAGATATTATAATTGTCTTCCTATCACTTCATAAAACGTAGCAATTTTTAGAGTCATATCTTTCTAATTTTTAGATTTCTGTTACCCTTTGCTTTCTAGTAAGGTCCCCTCAAATTTTTTTTTTCCAGGTTTTTATCTGAAATAGAGCTGGTTTTCTT